TTCTCCTCACCGGCTAATAGCACTCTGCTCTTCTTTTGGGAAACCACCCATCTCCAGTCCAAGGGTCCATCAAGTGGCTCCTCCCTCTCCTGGCAAAAGGGTGGACAAAGGATGTAATTTGGGCCAATCTGGCTCTCTCCCTTGAGCAGGATCCTTCCCTATGGCTGCTCCTTGAGGAAAACATCCACAGATTTTTGCCACCTGCATCCTTCAAGCTGCCAGGAGCTCAGCCCTTTCTGTCATGTTAGCCAGGGTAAGTTTCTATGGCTGGCAACGAAAGAACCCCAAATGATAGATCTGTGTTGGGAATCGAGTTAAGGGCAACAGAGTATTGTTTTAGGGTTCTAAAAAGTAATATATGACTTCAATAACCTAAATATATTGTCAAAGACTTACTGGTTCTAGTATCTAAAAGAAATCAGGCCTGGCCAAGAAGTCAGATTATGGTTAATAAAATTTTAAAAATGCCCTTCTGCATACTACACTGCATTTTCCCAGGGTAACTAATAGCCAGAAGATACACTTTTGCTGATAATTAATTATAAGATAGGTAAATAATTCAAGATCTGACTGGTTTATAGAATATAAAAATACCTACTGTTGTAATTAAAAAACTACTAAAGACTTATATATAACTTCTATTTACAAATTCAACATGGCTTTAGGGCCCATTTAGAGAGATGATCCAACATTACACAATTACCTGTGTGAATAACTCATTACTAGGCACTTTACTAAAACCTCTGAAAGACAAATATCTTTTCCTAAGATAAAATAGTAGGTGGGTAGTTACTGACAGTGTTTTTGGACAAAGGACAAAGTAATTATTATTTGAGTAGGAAGCACAGCTATTAAAATGGTAAGGTATAATGAAAAACTATAACCAAACATTATCCTCTAAAACAGAATTAGGACTTTACCAGATTCTGTTAGAGGCCATTCAAACGAGTACAGAGTACCAGAAGTTTGGTAGTCAGGAAAGGGAAGAAATTAGCATGGATTTAATATAATATAGATTACATGCCAGCTTCCTTCTATGTCATTTCACTTTATTCTCACTACACCTCTGTGAGAGAGAATTATTAATTCTATTATTTAGAGAGAAGAATAAGGACCAGAGAGGTAACATAGATTGTCCCAGATTACATATTTAGTCAAGTTTAATCAGGAATTTAGTCTAAAGGTCTAATCTAAAGTTTTCTATCCTTTCCAATCCATCACGCTGCCTTTTTCATATGACAAAAGTCAGCACCTGTAAAGTCAGATACCCCTGGATACTCTTTTAGCCTCTTTTTAAAGTAGGTTGCCTGCCCACTGAACAGGACCATGAGTCCCACCTGCCTGGAATGCCTGCTTCTAGATACATCCACAATTCCTATGGCCTGCTCACTCACGTTAGCACGCTGGCGGTCATCATCTGGGACTCGGGCGCTGCCTCTATCAGGGACTGCCAGGTGTTTGTGGAGTTCGGGATCACAAAGCCAAACTCGAAGGACCATTCTGTGGGAAGAAGGAAAATGGATCAGTGGACATCCCAGATAGAGTCTCAGGGCTCCTTGTCCCTCTCCTTTAGAGCGAGCCTCTTTTTTAGCTTGAGAACCACCAATGAAACCTCCCAGGACAGAGGCATAAAAAGGACTCCCTTCGGCTGTCCTCTGAACTACACCAGAGGCCTAGTCCCTATGCTCTGGAGTCTAAAGAACTAGGACCAGTGGGTGAATCTAGTATAAACAAAGTTGTCTTAGAAGTAAGGCTGGATGTAAATAAAAGTATAGAACAGAAGTATAGAATAGGCCTTTTCACTTGGAATGTTAGCTCTAGGACACGTATGTGCACTCTTACACTTCATGGTGAAAACGCAATGCAGAGTGGCCCTGCCAGTCAAATCTGAGAGACTGTATGGAGAGCACTGTACCAGGCCCTCATCAGCAGCTTCCTTGTGACCGTGTTACAATACCACCTCAGTGACAAAGCAGGCACCAAACAGTCAGAAACCTTTTGTTGAGCTCAAAGCCCCTTATAGTGCCAGCTTTGTTTCTGTTTATTCTCACTGGGGGTCCCCAATCTTGCAGGGTGTAGGAATCCTATCACAAACGGAGTTGCAAAGTGAATGTTATTAAAGCAGTGTTTTATAGCTCATTGCGTCTTGCCTTTTGTCCCTGTCACCCTAAGCCTGGATTTCAGGCACGGAGCAGCAGAATACCTTCTAGGCATTGCCCTTTGAAGTAAACTTTTTGTTCCAGGCGGAATTTTTCCATTTGTTCTGCTGAAGAGAAGTTCAATTCTCGAGACACTGCCTTGCACTTGAGAATTTTCTTCGGAACACGGGCTGGTAAAGAAAAGGAAATATTGAAGCCATTCTAAATTAAAGCACATTACTATGGTGCTTCAAGTTTCTGGAAAATGATTTAGAGAGCCCATTTTCTATGTTAAATTTCAAAGAATGCCTTAGTAACAGAATTATACTTTTTCATTAAAGAGGTCCCCAATTGGTAAAGTGTATTTGACCGAAAGATTATCAAGGCCCATCGGCTTTAGTGCGTTTAAAGGCCTTACCTAGCTACTGTCATCAGGAAAGGGGCTGAAAGGGCACCTTCTCTCTACTCTGTTCTATTGGTTTTAATCCCTTAGTTTTTCTTTTTATTTAAGGGAGATGAAAATGCAAATTTTATTTGGGGAAAAAAAAGTTGAGTCTTAGTTTATATCCTTGGGTATATTCTAATGCTAAAATTTCAACATAAAGTGGGTTCTGGGAAGTGGGAGACAGAAACCTAAGGAACTAGAAATCTCAGTAACATGTAGATGAATGTGCTGAGCCTCCAGGGCTCACCCTCCTATTAGTCTGCATTGACTTAACTCCCTAATGGTTAGGCCCCGCTCCCCAGTCATCAAGAGCTTTGCAGACAAAGGGTCGGAAAGTACCTTCATGCTCCACTCCAGGGACTGACAGGTCTTCTGTTCCTTGCCAGAGTATCTTCCCTGTCTCAGCATCCCGGAGGTTCATCCAATTTCTGATCAAATATATTGAGGAAAAATAAGGCACTAAAAGTGACTTCTCCTTTGTACTTGGCCTAACTGCTAAGTGCCATCCAAGTAAATAGGTTTGTGTAGGCGAGTCCATAAGACATGTAAAGGAAGAAGCACGAAACCTGGAGGAGATATTTTCATGTACAACATAAGAACCCAAAGATTGCACACATCTAGAAAGAGGTAAAAAATGAACAGTGTCGCCAGTGTGGCTCAGTGGTTGAGCATCGACCTATGAACCAGGAGGTCATGGTTCGATTCCTGGTCAGGGCATGTGCCCGGGTTGTGGGTTCAATCCCCAGTGGGGGGCATACAGAAAGCAGCTGATGAATGATTGTCTCTCATCACTGAAGTTTCTATCTCCCTGTTTTCCCTTCCTCTCTGAGATAAATAAAAAATATGTATATTTTTAAAAAGGTCACTCAGAGAACAAAAAAAGAAATCTAGAAAAATATACATTTTGAAAGCAGAACCAAACAGCTCAAATGAAAACAAAGGTTTTTGTTGTTGTTTAGTTTTTAAAAACTATGGACAAATCATTAAAGGAAAAGAAAATTAATATTATCCATGCATGGAAGCTAAGTATGAGAAGATAGTTAATATGGCTAAGTATGGGAAAGATGGTTAATATTTGTAAAGAAACTGAGCTTCAATTCAGATAGTTGATATACTTATGTCTTTTTTTTCTCTTTTGCTGTCTAGCAACCAACAGCACATTGCAGCCTCCCTTCCCCAATGGGAGGCAGTGACTGCTTTGCACTATAGCAACTAGAAGATCCAGAACCTTTTTTCCTGGTCCTGCTGCAGCTGGAGGCAAGGACATAACTAGGCTCAGACACCTGGGTACTTCATTCTGGGGCTCTGAAACTGTAGTCACACAGGACTTGAGGAAAAGCCAGCAGTTCTTCAGGAGGGGCAGCAGGTAGTGCTAATCTGTCCATTCCTGACGTGTGACCACTGCTATGGGTCCTGGTCCTCCACTGCCAGTCAGTTTTCAAAGCCCCAGGGAGCCTTTGAGCCTTTCCCACTGTTTGGGTAGCTTGCAGTTGAGAACCCTGAACAACACAGTTTTTTGTTTGTTTTTGTTTTGGTTAATCCTCACCAGAGGATATTTTTTTCCATTGATTTTTTTTTTCGAGAGAGTGGAAGGGATGGATAGAGACACACAGAGAGAAGCATCGATATGAGACAGCCACACATTCATTGCCTCCTACCCCTTCACCCTCCCCTCCCCAAATGGGGCTGTGGATCAAGCCTGCAACCAAGGTACGTGTCCTTGACAGAAATAGAACCCTTCAGTCCACAGGCCAACACTCTAAATGTGGTTAGTTCTAACACGGTTTTTTAGAATCACTGTATATGTAATGGTACTACATTTAACTCATTGGAAAGGTTATTTCTACATTTTGCTGCTATATAAGAAAAGTTACTAAAGATAACTAAAGGTTATCTAGCAGAGTGACTTGAATGTGATGGGTATACTAGCTTCCTGTGCCCTCCACCTGCTTGTGAACACGCCCCCCCCCCCAACACAAAAACCCACTGCTTTGAGGTTGTGTTGGCTGTGCTACTCTCCGCCTGGAGTGTGCATTCCTAACAAACTCTCCTTCTGTGCTCATTACATCGCCAGGTACTGCTGCGCTTCTATATCTAGGTGGTTTTCTCTCTGCTTCATATTTCTAAACTCCACTTTTTTTAAACAACTAAATTAAAAAGCAAGTCAAAAGTATACATACTTGTTTAGGTCATGTCTTACAATTCTAATTACTACAAATATGTTTACCCATTTTGGGGTCTCTTTTGGGGTTAAGAGGAAGCTTCCCCAACTGGAGAAATAAAACAATAGATACTATTGCTCTAGCAAGTCCATTCTGAGCTCAGATCTAAACAGAATGGCCTTAGCCTTAGCTGGTTTGGCTCAGTGGATAGAGCGTTGGCCTGCAGACTGAAGGGTCCCGGGCACATGCCCAG